ATCCCCTCTCGATTCGTTCCATGAACGAGAGGTCCACAAATTGAATGATCAAACCTTTAAACAGTTAGGATCATCTCAGAACTCCCACTTGGTCAAACCTTACTACAGTTAGGACCAAAACCAAAATCCCCTTTCGATTCCTTCCATGAACGAGAGGTCCAGTTTCGATTTAGGACCAAAACCAAAATCCCCTTTCGATTCCTTCCATGAACGAGAGGTCCAGCTTCGATTTGTGCAATCAAAACTATAAAAGTTAAGATTGCTTCCAATCTCAATTGATCAAACCTTATTCAGATTCTCTGAATAGAAATCCCAATTTAAATTTCCTTTGTACCAGGAGATAGAATATAAAATTCTTCCTCTCCGATTCCGGGTTCATCTCTACCAACAAACAAGAGACCAGGAGATAGAATATAAAATTTTTCCTCTCCATCATCGGGTTCATCTCTACCAACAAACAAGAGACCAGGAGATAGAATATAAAATTCTTCCTCTCCATCATCGGGTTCATCTCTACCAACAAACAAGAGACCAGGAGATAGAATATAAAATTCTTCCTCTCCATCATCGGGTTCATCTCTACCAACAAACAAGAGACCAGGAGATAGAATATAAAATTCTTCCTCTCCATCATCGGGTTCATCTCTACCAACAAACAAGAGACCAGGAGATAGAATATAAAATTCTTCCTCTCCATCATCGGGTTCATCTCTACCAACAAACAAGAGACCAGGAGATAGAATATAAAATTCTTCCTCTCCATCAGATTGTGGTCCTAACTGTAGGAAGGTTTGACCAAGTGAGAGTGGAAGTGTGAGATGACCCTAACTTTTATAGGTTTGATCACTCAATTTGTGGACATCTCTGTAGGCGTCAAAAAATGCTGAAAGATATCCAAATACAGCTCAAGAGGAAATCATCCAAAAAGGCAAAAGAACACAAGTATAGACTGTCTCACAGGCGAGACAGTCTTTACTGTCTCACCTGGCGAGACAGTCTTTACTGTCTCGCCCGGCGAGACAGACTTTTACTGTCTCGCCCAGGCGAGACAGTTTTCACTGTCTCGCCCCCGCGAGACAGTTTTCACTGTCTCGCCCCTGCGAGACAGTATTTACTGTCTCGCCGTGCGAGACAGAATTTACTGTCTCGCACGTGAGACAGCTTTCAGATGGTCAAAACTACCTTTGTAACTGCCCTACACGTGGCCACTAACTGTTCAAGAACGTGGGAAACGTCGTGGGCGAGAATCACGTGGATAACTGCCAAAATAACGGAGTTTGAAACGTGGGAAAGCAGTTACATCGAAAACTGCCAGAAATATAGACAGTATTTTACTGTCTCGCTGGGCGAGACAGCAAATTGACTGTCTCGCTGGGCGAGACAGCAAACACTGTCTCGGCCAGCGAGACAGCAAACACTGTCTCGCCCGCCGAGACAGCATATGCTGTCTCGCGAGCACTGTTCATTCAGAGGGTTATAAATACCCCCCGAAGGCTATTTTCACAGGAGGCTTCCGGCAGAGGAGAGAGGCTGATCATAGGGAGCATTTCAGAACAATCCAGAGAGCAGAGGTGCTGATCTTACGGCCAATCCTTGATAATCAGGCTTTGACTTGATTTCAAGAAGAACGACTATCTTACATCGATAAGATATCGTTTCAATTTCTCACTTCGATAAACGAAGTCAGAATCATAAACCCCTCACGGTTCAATCAGAATCTGTGATTTGGTGGTCCACGAGTCAAAGCGCTCCCGGCACAGGCAAAGATCCCACAAAAGCAGTGATCCAAACAACGATCCTACGTTTATTTTCTCAAGAGTTGTAATTTTCTTTTTGTTGTGTAAAAGAGTCTTATAAAAAGGCTGTTTTCTTTGAATTTATTGTAATCGACCGAAGATATAATGAATTCGACAACGAAACCAACTTTTGGCGAAAACACCTTTGCCTTTACCTTTGCCTTTGCCTTGCTTTGCCTTTGCCTTTGCACATTTATGGTCATGTATATGTCCTAGTTTCTGCTAGGGCTCTAGGTATCTTTCCACAAGACAACATAGGAGACGGCCAAATCTCTACCCATGCATAGGTGAGTTCTTTAGACATGTTTCCTATCAAACGTCTCACATCCGAAATGCTTTGAACTCATTAAGGCTTAAGAGCCATCCTCTCTCATGATAGGATTCTAGGTGAGTCCTTTAGGTGTGTTTTCTATCTAACACCCCACATCCGAAATGCTTTGGACTCATTAAGATTTAACAACCATCCCATTTACATGATAGGATCCTAGGTGAAAAGATCAAAGTTTTACCCGGTTAATTCAGCCAGGTAAGGATAGTACTAGAAGGAGATCAAAAATTAATGAAGTACATCGTTCCTTGCGGAGCGCGTTACGCAACCCCCAAACATTACCTTAGCACCAACTAATCCAAGAAAATTTGAACCCTTTCACTTGTAAATCTTACTTGACTTTTGAACCATTTATCTTGTTATTAGTAGCATAAGCTTTGAACTAATAACTAGATGTAAATGGTAAGTATTTGTAAGACTCACCAAACTTTGTAAATCTTACTTGACTTTTGAACCAAATATATTATCATTAGTAGCATAAGCTTTGAACTAAAAACTTGATATAAATGGTAAGTATTTGTAAGACTTACAAAACTTTGAGACTCATTCCAGCATACATCCTTTTGACTATGTCCTTTTTCAGACCCTTAGTCAAAGGATCAGCCACATTCTCTGAAGATCGGACGTCAATCACCGAGATAACTCCTTGGCAAATGAGTTCTCTCAAATAGTCATGCTTCAGAATGATCCGTTTCTTTCTTCATTGAACATCGAGTTCGCTGCCACAGCACTCGTCGCTTGATTATCACAATAGATAGTAATTGCCCCTTGCAATTCTGTCAACGGAATGTCTCGGAGAAAATAACTGAGTCATTCAGCTTCATCTCCTGCAGCACAGAGTGCGAAGAACTCAGATTTCATCGATAACTATGCAATCATGGTCTGCTTCTTAGACTTCCACGAGACGACAGCTTCACCCATAGTAAAGACAAAACCTTCAGTAGACTTGCACTCATCTGGTTCTGAGCACCAGCTCGCATTTGAATAGCCTTCGATTATACCCGAATATCCAGTGTAGAATAGGCTCGGACCTGTAGTTCCTTTCAAGTATCTCATCAATCTCTGGACAGCATCTCAATGAAGCTTTTCAGGATTACTTGTGAACCTACTAAGCATTCCTACAGCGAATGTTATATCTGGTCTTGTGCAGCTCATCGCATACATAAGACTTCCAATAATCTTTGAGTACCTTAGCTGCTCTATTGGTCTTCCAGTGTTCGGTCGAATCTTTTTGTTGTAATCGTATGGCATTGATAATTCTGACAAGTCATTGTAGTCATACTTTCTTAGCATGCTCTCGACATAATGCGACTGAGACAATTTAATACCCTCTTCAGAGTATATGATTTTGATTCCGAGAATCACGTCCACAGTTCCAAGGTCCTTCATGCTGAACTGTGCTGAAAAAATTTCTTGGTAGATATCATTATCTCCAAATCACTCCCAATGATGAGCATATCATCCACATAGAGGCAGATGACCACCACATAGAAGCAGAAGTGATCATCTCTAGCCCAAGAGACTTCAGATTCAGAATCTTCTTCAGAGTCAGGTTTTTCCTCAGAAACCACATAGTATATTTTCAGGAGTTGCATCCCGAAGATTAGTTTCTGACGCCATGCGTTGAAGTTAGAACCGTCAAAGTTCTCAAACTTAAGATAGTCCACTCCAATAGTCCTCGCAGGATCCATGGTAGATCAAATTAATGTTTTAAGATTGTTAACGCCTGTGGTTAAATCTGGAATAATACAGATATATAACAACAAAATATATCTGTATTATTCCATATTTAACCACAGGCGCCAACAATTTTTTATCTTGAAATATTTCTCTATGAAAATTCAGTTCTTGCATGATCATCTATATTGAAGAATTATGTGTGTTGTCTGCACCTAACTTCACTCGGGCATGTGCATCGCATTGCGCCTTGCACATGTGCGCCTAAAGGGATTTTGCGCCCGCATTGCTCCTCACGCATTGATAACACTATTCTTAACATGTTGCAAAAGGATGGGTAGAAATCCAACTTTGCCCAAGGGAAAAAAGTAATGTAAGAAACATGGTTCTTTTGTTTTCTCTCAGATAGTCACGAACAGAAGCATCGCATATCGGCTCTTCAACCTGGCATTGCCCTCCTTCTCCCCATCCTATCCATTTTGGTACGAAAATCTCTTCGTTATGTATATTTTCTAGATCTATGATTTACATTGATTTTTTTTTTTCAACAAATGGATATAAATTATAATATTATATATATTTGGTGTTATATCAATGATACGAAAATTTCATGGTTAAATAGATATTATAAGTTTTCTATGATTGCATTTTGTTAAATGAATAGGGTTGTTTATTGTATCATGACATTGGGTGGTATGTCTATTTTTTAGGCAAGGTCATGCCAAATGTAGTAATACAATATTAGTTGACATGACAGACGGCAAAAAAGATCATTCTAGTTATGCTATTAGTTCCAAGACTCTTAACAATCATAATCTTCCGCACAAAAAAAACACTGGTCTTGACTATTTTAAGTTAGCCTGACTGTTAGTCCACTTGAAAACAAACACTGAACTGAGCTCAAATAGTCACAAGATGTGCCAGGGCTATACTACTCCCAGGATAATAAAATCTCAGGCTAACAAGTATTACTTCTATTACTTCCTAATTCATAATTTTGATCTAGTTTTTACTTCTAATACTCGTGGTTTCGGGGAGGAAAAAGTCTATTACCTTTCCTAATTACAATGTTGCAAACCAAATAATTGATATACAAATCTGACGCTATCTCCACACAGCCAAACATTATGTTGTCCTCAATTCCTAACCAAAACCCAACCAGATCCCAACATCATCTAGGGTTTCGTCGAGAAAATTACCGAACGGCGAGATTGGTTATATAAACCACAGACGGCGTGTTCTCCTGGAAAAGCCTGACGGTGGCGAGCTCGTCGGTCTGCAACTTCCTCGGCGGCGTCACCACGAACGCCGAGGCGGGGCCCACGTCGGCGACGAAGATGCCGATCGAGATGGCGATCGAAGCCGCGAGAACAACGGCGGAGTCGAGGACGGAAGACAAAAGGTCGCCTTTTCCGGTCTTGGAGGAGACAGAAGATGAAGAGGCGAGGATTTTGAAAGAGGAGGGTTTGGGGGACTGGAGAATGAATTTGGAGGAGGGGAGGGGTCTAAATGTAAGAAAAGATTTGTGAAGGGGAGGAGAGCAGCGGGAGAGGGAGAGGGGAGAGCAAGTAGCAGCGGCCATTCTTTTGGGCTCCTGATTTTATGGGAGTGGATATCATAATAAGAAGAGATTTATTTCTTCTTTCCTTTTTCTTACTTTTTATTTTCTTTTTTTAGGATTTTTTAATTTTTATGCTATTGGATGAGAGCTGATGTGCTCTTTTCATGTGGAGTTGTTGGTGATTCTGCGTCTAGGGACATCTAGTGATCACTGGCTTGCTCCAAAGATTTGGAGAAAATTTTAAAAAATGGAAGTATCCATTTCTAAAGTTTCCATCTTCTTTTTTTTAGTTGTTTCCCTTTGCATATTTTTGGTGGGATACAATGGAGTTTTTTTTTTTTTTTTTGCTATTTATTTTACCTGTTGGATTGCTTTCTATATTGGTAGAACTATTTCTAGTTATCTTGTTATGACTTTTTCTAACGGGTGTCCATGGGCACTCACTACAAGATCAGAGAGATTGAGAGAAATGAATAGCAATGAGCCTCCTGATTTACCCTAATTTCTCTCTTTACCTCTCCTCTCTCTATCTCTCTCATCTCTTGATAAGTGCCCACGGGCACCCGTTAGACAAACCTCTTTTGTTATTTACATGGGTTTCTGTAATTTTTTTGGATCTAGACCCTTTCCAATTAGGTGTTAATTGGAAATGGTCCAATTACCTTATTAATCATTACCGTTTATTCCAACTTCAATGGATAAGATGATTTCTATTGAAAGTTGCTATTGTGTTGAAAATTACTATCGTAAAAAACTAATTATAATTGTGGAAATTCTACGTGTCATCATCTCATCCCTAGAATTTGGAGTGGATATTAAATGTTAAAGTAATTAGACTCCCTCCAATTACCACCTATTTTTACATGGTGAATATTGTTAAGCGTAAAGGCTATCACTATTAGATACCAAAAGAGTATCGGACACGTGCAAAATATGACAACTATCAGTATGTTTTAACTGATTCTAATTGTTCTTTGAGATTGGACTAGGCTACTATTAATAACATCTAACAACGGCTGGTTACTCGTTGATTGCTAAGGTTGGACTAGGCTAAGGATGAAAATAGAGTAAAGCGAGGTTTGTCAGATTTTGTTATTGGAATTCCTCTCTCTTTCCAACAAACAGAAAGGGTTAGAATTTTGAAGACATCTAGTTTCTATCCTTTTTTGTGAATCGGAAAATATTTCATCTCTTTTATGTTTTGTTTTGTGATTGATCGGTTGGTTGGGACTTGGGAGAGTCTTGAAATATCAATGATCAATTAAACTAGGGGTGGGCAAAAACCGAAACAAACCGGTTCAACCGAAAAAACCGCCCGAAAAAACGGATCGGTTAACCGAACCGAATTAAATGGATGAGAAGAAGTCTCTAAACCGCCCGAACCGAATTAAACCGGTCTGGATCCGGTTTGAACCCCTGAACCGCCCAAAAAAAACCGAACCGAATTCTTAAACAAAAAGTAGCTGCGAGCCTTGGGTGTGAAGAAAATTTATGGCTGAATGTTTAGCATTTAAGAATTGTGGGGTGGAGTTTATACTAACATATATTTGAGTACGCTGATATAGTTAAGTGAGATTTCCGTAAATCAATACAAGATGTTGAGGTTGAAGGATAAATTTAGTGTTTTGGTCAAATTTCAGTGATAACATGAATACAGCTTGCTGGTGCTGGATATCAAATTAACCTATAGTATAGGCTGTCAAGGATATAAGATAATTCTTGATGAGAAAAAGACAGCTAAAAATTAACGAAAATCATCAAAAGGTGTGTGTGCCTGCCAAACATTGTTCTTTCTCTAAAAAATGCTACATAATTACATGGTCCTCCTAGTGTATTAAGCTAGTTATATTCAGATCATACAATTTAATTAAGTGCCTTAGTACAGTTTTGATTGTTTCTTTTCAGTTTTGATTGCTTCTTTTCAGTTTTGGATATAACTAAAACTTACCCAGATTTTTGTGAAATCGAGTTAATTCGGTTCAAAACCGAAACCGAACCGAACCGAACCGAATTTCGGTTGGGCCGAATATTCGGATGAAGGGGAAAAAATCTGGATCTGGATGAGAGTTTTGAGAATCCGAAAAATTCGGATTGGATGCGGATTGGGCTTAAAACCGAACCGAACCGAATACGCCCAGCCCTAAATTAAACTTCAAAGAGGAGATCAAACAGGAAGAAGGAAGAAGATTAGTAATGGGTATTAGTGTTGCTTTATCCTTGTTAGTTTTTGTGAAATGTTTTCCAAAAGCTAAGCGAAGTTTTAAGCAACATGTATGCAATCTTATACATTCATATTACAAAAATACATTGTAATCTAGTGGTTAACTTCTTTTTGAACCAAGTCATAAGCCGAGAGTTCTGAGGCTTTGCCTGGACAATATTAAATTGGATAATCCCCCATAAGCATAAATTTGGACTTGGAATTGGGCCGTGTATTGGGACTAATCGGGGTCAGGTGCTAATTGTTAGAACTTTGTTCGGGGAGAACGTTGTTCGCTTAGGTGCTAATTGTTAAAACTTTGTTCGGGGAGAACGTTGTTCGTGCGATATCTTTTGTTTGATCAATAGCAAACTCTCATTTGGCATTAATAAGCTTGCTGATTTCAGCCATGGAGAAGAGATTAATAACAAGAGAAAGAGAGGATTTTGCACAAGCTTGTGAAATCAAATTCTAGGGTTTCAGAGAGAGTGTGCGTTAGAATTTGATTCCTTGAGCCTCGTTCAACTTCTTGTCATCGCGCTCAACATCGGAAGATCGTTTCAACGAGGAGGAGTGCCCTTTGCGTTCAACTTCAATATCGCTTCTTCAAGGATCATCGTCGATATTGGTTTGAAGAATGATTTGTTTTAAAAGGGCTATAAGATCTTTTAAATTGTGCTTTAATTATTTTTTAGGGCTGGTTTTGCATTTCAATATTGTGAGTTTGATGACGTACTCAAGCTTGGGTAATTGAGGGTTGACGTGCTCAAGCTAGGATAATTGAGTGTGGCTAGTGAGGAATGGTTTTCTTCTGGTCATTGACTGGTTTCAGGTTGATTTCAGAATCCTATTTGTAAAGCCTATTGAATCATGTTGTGATTCGAGGAAAACTCCTGCTATAGTGAAGAAGGCCCTTCGCGAGTAGGAAGAGTGAACATAGGATTTTGATCCGAACCACTATAAAATTCTCATGTGTTCCAGTGTTGGTTGCTCTTAGTTTTTTGGTTTTTATTTTTCGCTACATATTCTTGGTTTATCCGAAAATTTTGTAGCAATCCTATTCACCCCCCTCTCTCCTGGGTTTGCATCCCGTTTTCAACACTAATGGTGGACGCAATTCGGTTGGGATCCTGTGCAGTAGGTCGAAACTTGCTTCAGGTTCAACATTGAAGGATTTCAGGGAACTTCCTTTATTTTGTTCTCTTTGTCAACTTAGCAAGGTAACCTGTCTCAGATACATCCGGAGTATTTTTTTGGCGAAAACTTCTCTGTCAAATTAGCAAGGTAACCTGTCTTAGAAACTTCAGAGTATTTTTGGGCAAAAACTTCAAGGGTATTAAATTTAAAAATCGATGAAATGGAATCAAAGTGCAGTTAAGCTAAATAATAATAATAATAATAACAATAACACTACATGTAAATGCCACTTGATTTTTCCAGAACATGAAACAGACCAAAATTGATGTTCCGCCTGCTTGAATTTCGACTGCTAGATCAAAAAGTGGCAAATAGAAATCCTGAGATACCTTAAATTATATCCATATGTATTGCATCTTTTATATTACATTGCTGAATATGGAAATAGTCATTGCCAGTTAATCAATAACAAGTCCCCGAAAACAATTTCAAGGGCTCTTCATGATATTTCTTTGTCTAAAACATACTTTTGTGCAGGAGATTATATTAGCAGAGTTATCTATCTTTACATTGATCAGAATATGTTCGATGAAGAATGGCTGGTAAATTATAATTACATGTCCAAATTCAGCAAAGTTCTATTTTTTCCGAACATTGAGTGAAAACATGTACATTAAAAAATAAAAATAAAAAGCTCCCCCTCATGGAATTGGATATATGACAACTTTTCCAGTAGCTCTGCCAGTTTCAAGGTAAGAGAATGCGTCTACCAGTTTTGAGAACGGGAAAGGACCCTTCGGATCTATAACCGGCTTAATCTTTCCACTCTCAAGAAAAGGGTTAAGCTTTGTCAATGCAGCTCCATCAGAAGTTACTACAAATCTGAAGCCTGGAGGCGAGACTGCACCGGTCAATACCACCACACTTCCGCCTTCTTTCACTGCCTTCACTGCTTTTTCTCCTTGCCCTGTATTTAAGATTACACGAAAACATCGCTTAATGAATTAACCAAACTCACAGTATAAAAAGAGTTATTGCCATGGTTGCATTTTTTGAGATTCATCCTCAATGCATGCCCACATGTATCGGTTACTAATGGACTGTCTGTGGCAGAAGAGATAGTTCTGAGTAAATGTAAGTTCTCAATGACCAAGCTATACACTTTACAGATTTTTTTGGTGTACAACTCTTGCAATCATGCATATTTGCAAAACTATTCACAAATCTCAATATTTGCAAAACTACCCTCAAAACCATCGACTTGTTATGGCGAGTAATTATTTGACTATTTTGTTGATGCATTTACAGTGCAATCAAAAATTAGCCTATCGGAGTTGATGATTTGGGGGTATTTTTCCGAACTTGATGATTTGGGGGATAGTTTTGCAAATATGCATGATTTCAGGGTATATATACACAAAATCCAAACTTGATTGCCTCAACATCTTATCCTTGCGTAACAAAGATGATGAATGTTTACACATCTTTCACAATAGAATGGGTAATGTTTAATGACAACATTTGTCACACGATTGTATCTTTCAGTTAAACATTTAGTAGTTAGTAGAAAAAAAATGAAATTTGCTTCAAACTCATCACATAATGTTAATCATAGGATTATTAAACTTTCAAAGGAACTCACTACCATTTAGAAATAAGCTTCAGTTAGGTATCTGATTCAATAGCAAACAATATTTCTCTATTAATTTTAGTTCGAAAAAAAAGATACCTAATTTCTAATTCACAAGACGAGCATTCTATCTTACCAACGGTGTCATAAACCACATCAAATTTCTCTGTAAGTTCCTCAAAGTTTTCCTTGGTGTAATCGATTGCCAAATCAACTCCAAGACTCTTCAAAAGCTCAATCTTCCCAGTGCTTGCTGTGGCTGCTACTTTTGATGCCCCAAAAACTTGTTTTGCTAGCTGAGCAAGGAAAGGAATGTGAGGCTTCCATCTTAATGGAGTTTATTATATGATGATGCAGGAATTATATTTCACTCGACAGATAAAGATACAAGGTAAGCTGTGATACTGTCAAAGCACAAATTAATGATGAACTGCTGTTTATGGACTTCGGAAGAGTAAAAAGCCGAGGTTTAGTAAATCAAAGGTTGATGTATGTTTAAAGATTAACACATTATCCATAGGTTATATGATAAGATATCTTTAAGCAATTCACCAAAATGGACATTACTGAAAACAGATAACTGGAGTTGACAGGATTTCTGTCAGGAACATTGCTGGATTCACATTTAGGAACCGAACATATCTCATTGCAGTGTAAATCTACAATCTAGATTTGTATCTTTTGGCATCCTTCAATCATTGATCAGGCTGTTTATGGGCAAGACTCGCAATGAACGATCTTCTATTCAAGTATTAATCTAATGTCTTATATTTCATAGAAAACAAACTAGGACTATTTTTTTCCACTGCGTGATCTTTCTGTTATGAGTATGTAGATCTATTTGATTACCTGTGCTAGATGCTAGTTCACTAGAAGTCTACAATATCATTGACATTCCATCTAACGTAGCCTTCCGATGCACTAACTGGTAAGTCGAAGTATATTCGATTAACTTCAGAGTCTTGACATAACGGAAAGGGATTTAACGAACTGACATGTCAAACCAACTTCCAAAATGTAATGTGATAAGGGTTAATTGCATATGGACCCCCTACCCTATAGTATAGTTGCTTTGAACTTCCTACCCTGCAGTTTCATGTATGCAGATAGGCCTCCTGGGTGAATTTTTTTTGACTCTTTTAACCTGAGATAGGCTCCCTAGTTATACTCAAGGGCATTATCTGCCAAATTTCACCCAGGTAAAAGAGTCAAAAAAATTTAACCTGGGGGTCTATCTGCAACAATGAAACTAGAGAGGTAGTAGTTCGAAACATCAATACGACTAGGGCCGGGTATGCGTGCAGTTAAACCTAATCCCGTTACCTGAACCACCAAGGATCCAACTCCACCTGCACCACCCAACACAAGAATAGATTTACCGGCAGAAAACCCAGCTTTCTCAAGGCCTTCATTTGCTGTTTCAATAGCAAGAGGAAGTCCAGCGGCTTGAGCAAAGTCGAGATTCTTTGGCTTTAAAGCTATAAGCTTCTCCTCGACAGAGGTATATTCAGCAAGAGATCCAAACTGCTTAGGATCCTCGAGTGCTTTTTCGTTTATGTTTCCATAAACTTCATCACCTTCTTTTAGACCCTTCACTCGGTTGCCCACCTTAACAACTACGCCGGCCACATCATAACCTGGAACGGTCTGCAGAAAATTCTATCTGTTAAATGGAAGAATAAAGTCCATTTTTTTTTTGTTTCTGTGGCTTAATTTATCTCAAGTGTTGTTCTATGTCGCTTAGTGTAACGGAGTTTTGTATGAATTGAGAGATCAGATATGCTGTAAATAATCTTTTAACAGAATGGAACTGTGTATACACGTTCACCATCATGGGCTGAGTAAAAAAAAAAACTGAGGTACTATAAAATGCCAGGTTTCTGTCCATTTTTTAGGATGTTACTCGAAGTGTGGTAGGCTTGTAGCATCTGTATAGCGTCATGCAGTTAGCAGCATTGAGCAGCTTGAAATCACTGGCAGCAGTTTCTTTACTTTTTCTTTAAAAAAAATAAATTATAACCCTCACCACAACCTGAAAGTTTCAGTGTAGTATCAGGGACCTTTAACTTGGTAATCCCCGGTTCGAATATTACTAGTTCTTTGAATCCAGATCCCTGCCTATAAAAGGACAATAAACCGCAAGGCGCGTTAGAATACAAAACTAGTATGATGTTATAACCCTAACCATCACCACAACTTCGGAGTTTTGGCGCGGCGGCGGGGACCCGTGACACTTTTGAAGGCCATTATTCAGTGTTCTCGTTTGAGTATATATTGATCCATTAGTTCGTTGCTTAGCAAAAAAATTATTTCAATAATGCAAAAATAGCTGAAAACCAACTACCCATTATCTGAAAAAGAACAATTTTTCAAAACAACCCCATTTCTTTTTTTAATTTTTAAAATCGGTCCTTTTTTTTATTTACCAAACCGATCCGTTTTTTGCCACGTCAGACTAATAAATTTCCTAAAGTTGTCAACCCGAACTACTTAGGACATAATTTTTTAGGGTTTAAGGTTTCTAATTGAGGGTTAACACCCTCCTAAATAGGAGGGTTAGTAACCCGACTGTTTAGGAAAGTGATTAGATTGACGTGGCAAAAAAACGGGTCGGTTTTGGTAAATAAAAAAATGATTGATTTTAAAAATTAAAAAACAAAATGGGGCTGTTTTGAAAAAATTGTTCATCTGAAAAATTGAAGAGAAGAGAGAGAGAGAGAGAGGAAGCTCACGGGTAAAGGAGAATCGGTGGCCTTAAACTTCCCAAGCCTCCTCTTAAAATCCACAGGGTTAAGGGCCGCAGCCGCAACCTTGACGAGCACCTGGTCCTCCTCCACCGCAGGGACCGAGACCCCCTCGTCAAATCTCAGGACGCTGGCGCCCCCGTACTCGTCGTAGACCCAGGCCTTCATCTTTGAGGGGACGACCGTGGAGCCCACAGCAGAGGCTGTCTCGGTCTGTGATGAGCTGCTTGCAGAGACCACCCAATGCTGCTGCTCGCGGCGTCTGCTGGTTATGTTAATCCTCCCGGGGCTGAGGTCGGTGGCGGTGAGTTTTGGCGGCGGAGTTGTTGAGAGGGAGCGGCGGAGTGAGGACGGCGGCGCTTCCTTGTTTTCCACGGCTACCGATGACGCTTTATCTCCTGCTTGTGTTGAGCGACCATACTAAATAAAATCCATGTCGCCTACGGTTATCCTGCGGTGAGGATAAGCGGTTGCTCTCACCAGGCCTTCGGGTTTCTGATTCTTGGAGTTGGGTACTTTTACTTACAAGTTGGTCTTGAATAGGGCCGGCCGAACGCCAGGAACAGGCTGTGTTGGGCGCTCTGGGAAGAGATCGGGCCTCTTTTTTTGTCGACAAAACATGAAACTCGAATTAGAGTTTCTCCGCGATCCTAGTATGCTTCTCAGGTCGGAAGTGATCCGAAGGTCAAATTGTAACTAGGAGGTCGCGTTCGTCCTGATACGGCTTTCGCATATATACTCATCGTAATACGATATCTCTTATCCCAATCTTCGGATACGATCACAGATGCGAATATAGCTTGGTAAGGAAAATTCACATTTATGTCCGCTGAAATTGGATACGGTTACGGATATAGATGCGGGTATGCACACGAATAAAAAAACGGATATTAGAAAACTAGATATTATTAAGAACAACATAGTTCGTGTGATACAAAAGAGGTCGTTAATATGTCCATTATAACTGAAAAGCTGAGATTAGACACCTTGATCATCGAAATTAACCACAAATTCATAATATGAGAATTGAAACTATCATAAGAACATGACTAATATGTATTCGGATATTTCGGACACAGATACAGATATTTCACTGCAAAACCATATCCGTAACTATATCCTATCGGTTATAGATTTTAGTTAACCATATTTGTATCCTAACGGATACAGTTACGGATATTTCCTCGGATATTGATACGGTTTAGCACGCCTAATTGTAACCTTAGCATCACTTTTTGGAACTTACTGCCCCTCTAGTCTTTTTCCTAGAAAGACCGGCAGAGGGGTTTTTCCCCCCTCTGTTACCATCCGGGGGGGTTTATTTGTCAAAAAATAATTTTGTCTCCCTCTGAAGGTAAAAAAAAAGTCAAGAAATTATCATTCTGGAGCCTATCTACCGGAATAAAAATAGCGAAGAAGTAACTTCAAATCTGCAATCAACCTTAACTTTTATTTAATCAAAGTTAAACTTTTAGTCTCAATCAAATTAGTATTATAACGATGGGTTTGACAAGTCTCAATCAAATCAGTATTATAACGGTGGTTTGGTAACTCGTCCAAAACTAGGTCTGGATAAGTTGTGGCACATTTATATCCTAAATCAATTCTTGTTCGGAACATTGGGAGCAGTTCCCCGAATTAAAATTGATTTAATGGCCAAATTTTCGCCTACAAATATTGGGGCAATTTTAGCATAGTTTTTTTTCCCCAAATAGAAAAGCACCCAAAATTGGATCATCACCTCTTCTCTAGTTTTATATAGGATTGTCAAAAACACCCGGACTCTGACTACAATGCAATCTATAATCAACAGTGTCAACTCTCACATTTCAATGTTACAGATTTGCTTACGTTAGCCTGTATTTCTGAACTCTTGCAAGGGAACCAGGTGGATCTACTTACACCATCACTCTAGTTTGTTGGGCTAAATTACTCCATTATTGATGTCCATTCATTTGTGGTGGGCATCAGTAGGCCTGTCCAAACGGGCCGGTCACTGGGTAGGTCCGGTCATTTTTTTTAATTTTAAGAGTAAATAACAATAAATTAAGCAAAATTTTGATAAAAATCACTCATATTATTAACCACTTGTAATTATATAATTTACAAATACAAAAAATCATAGAAATTAAGATGATAAAAATAAATTATTTATTAATAATCATTTAATCACTAACAATTACAAACTTATTTTTAGAATTTGCCGCATTACAATAGATGAATACATCCCAACTAGGTTGACACCTACCCATCTATATCACTATCATTTACAACTCTTTCCAAAATAATTTATCACAATTTTTTAGCTAATAAATAAAAATTACAAACTAATAAATAATTTCTACTCTATCCGTTATTCCCAACTCTTCAAGTTTATCTTTAATACTAGCCATCCAATCGATGCCTTGAGTTCTCTTCTCGTACCTCCACCAATCTTGTAGGCATATTACCGCTTGTACGGTATACGAATCTAACGGTGTCCAGTGGTTATCGATCAAACGTCCTGCTGTGCTGAAGGCGGATTCCGAAGCTACTGTGAAAACCTGTACTGTTAGTAAGTCACGAGCCATGATGGAAAGTATAGGATATGAAACTGTTCCATATACTCTTCACTATTGTAAAATATCAAAACTATTATTTTGAGTTTTAACTAAAGATGCACTTAAATATTGTTTAATTTTAGATATTTCCATTGATGATCTAGATCCAGATCCACTAATTAGCTGAGTTATCGATAATTCCCTATCAAAACTCTTACTTTTGCCCTGACTTGAACTCGTAGAAGCAGAAGTTGTAGATTAATGTGTATTTACACTATATCTAGCTGCATACTCATCATATAATTTTTAAAAATAAATTCTAATAGTATTATGATAAGTAAGAGGAGTAATAGTTTGATCATCATCAGTGTCTATTATCATGTTACCATACAAATAATTTAACAAATTTCGAAGGCCAACATCTTTCAAACATGGATCAATAAGAACCCCCAAGCCAAAAATAATATGAATAAACCAAAAATACTTATTAAATTTACTTTTTATTTGAAAAATCATATTTCCAAAAAAATTATCCATACGATAATTATTAAAAAAGTTTGGATATTTAAAACTTGTAAATCAACTTGAATAATAGTTGGATAATAACAACCAGATAATAACATAGTAGCATCATAAAAAAAACTTATAACATCTCTTTTACACTATATATAACTGATCATTCATCATCAGTTATTCCATACATATTACCAGAGCTAGAACTAGAAGTATAGAAAGCGATTAAATTATTTATAATTTCTTTATACTCTATTTCTATATTTAACATTGCCATATGGTCAACATCTTTTGGAATTAATCTGAGTTTAAAAAATTTTCTTTTACACAATTGTTTCCATCTTTTAAGTCTTTGTTAAGAAGCATTATGAGCATAAGCTATTGTCCTAGCCTTTTCTATCATAGATTTAATTTCACCAAATGCACTTTGAACAATTAAATTTAAAATATGTCACATACATCTAATATAAAAAATATCACAATGACATGGCAATAGCAAAGATGATTTGATATGATCAACATCTACATTATTATTACTTGCATTATCTAGTGAAAGAGAAAATAATTTTTCTGAAAATTTTAATTGTATAAGCTCTTCTATTATTAAGTTTGCAATATTAATACCACTATGTGGATCTTCAAATACAATAAAAATAACTTTTTTAAACATTTGCCAATTATCATCAATTCAATGTGTTGTGATACATAAATAACCAGTGTGTGCTCTAGATGTTCAAATATCAGAACTTAAAAAAAAAATTACAGTTTAAACTTTGAAAATAAGAAATTATTTTTGCTTGTTTCTCGTGATAATATTTCAAAATATCACGTTGATAAGTTTGAGGAGAAATTTTTTTTAAATACGGGATAAAAACCATTTGTAAAAATATCTACAAATTCATCATATTCTACTAATTTAAAAGGAATGTTTTTAAGAATAATAAGCCTGATAACGCATTTCCTGGCTCTAATTGCGTCATAGTTCCAACTACCGAGACTACCGAAAAATAAAGATTGAGAGAGTAAAGATTGTCGGATATCACATTGAGGCGTTGTCTGACCTTTGTTGTGTTTTTCTAAATGGCGTTTGAGGTGGTTGGTGCAGCTTTTATAATGAGCTTAGAAAATATGGCCGCACAACGCACACTTAGCCTTTTGGGTGAGAAACCTATTGTGTTGATCCCTGGTGACTTCTATCTTCTCGAAGAAGTTTCACACATCAAACATCGGCCTTTTAGGAGCTCTAGGTGCAGAATCATTGTCACCGGATTCGTGATCAACATCGGTAGGAGTAGGAGGAGTAATTGTTGCTCCTGTAATAGGAGTATTAAGACTCATTTTAACATCGGGAGTTGAGATTTGCCCTTCATAATCAGAGGAGGAAGCCATTTGATTGAAGAATTAGAGAGCAAAAGCGAGAATAAGAAAGTATTAGAGTATTAGAGAGAAGTAGATGAATTTTGGATGAGAAAAATAAATAAAAACTCTCTCTATTTATAGAGGCAACCCCCTAGCCAAATGACCAAAATACTCTCAAACTTTGGTTATTTTTTGACCGTTTTTAGGGTATTTTGGTCAAAATCACAAATATGGCCGTTAGGATTGGGCCGGCTCAGGCTGCCCGGCCAAACGGTCACGAATGTGACCGTTGGCCTCCCCATCGAGTCCGGGCATGGACCCGACCACCCCGGCCCGGTCCTTTTGCTGACCGGGCTGGGCCGGGTCCAGTGCGAACGTCGACGAAACGGCCAGGGCCGGGCTTTGACCCGGCTGGGTCCGGTCCGGGCATCAGGCCCAAATGGACAGCCCTAGGCATCGGCCTTTTGAGCCATACAAGCTGTCTGAAATTCGAATGAGCCTGGGGCTTAGTACTAAATCAGGCACATCACCCGTGTCTGCGTACAATATATGGGTAAATTTTCACAAACCTCCCCATAAGTTTGACCCCTCACTTTATAAATCATAGAAAATTTCCTGAACTTTCAAGATTATACTAATTCCTCTTCAACTATGAAATCATAAACAGCGTTAACGGGTAGAGTAAAAGGTCCAAAGTATAATTTGAAGAACAGCTAAAGTGAGTTTATGTTAGAGTTCATGCGCATCTTTGTGCGAATCCTCGAGGATTCACCAAAAAAGTAAAAAAAAAATTAAAAAAATATACTCTGCCCCAAATCTAGGTATATACTTTGCTCCAGACAACAAGGCTTTTGAAGAGAAGATAGGCGAAGAATATAGCAATGCTTTATAAAAAGTTTAAAAAAAAAGTAAAAGGGATAAGTGAAGGGACACGCACAAATAGAATAGAGGATTGCTCAAGTTTCCCAGGGTCCTTTGCAGGATGAGGCACAATAATTGATAAAGGATGCATGGACAGCGCATAACAAGGAGTCATCGCCAGCAAGCAATAACCAAAGTGAAGCTTTTGCTTTGAAAGCACTCACCGGCATCTACATTATGGTGGACTCATGATCAGAACCTAACAAATGTGGCATTATTGTCAAATTTTCGCTGTTCTTAGTTGAAGGAAGGATGGAAAAACCCTGAAAAAAAGTTATTATTAAAAAAAAAAGCTGCAAATTTCATACGGTCTATATTTTGGTGCAAAATCTGCCCAAAAGTTTCAAGCATGCGCTATGTAGATTCTGCTGAACTGCATAACTGTAAAGATATTTAAATCAACAAGACCAGAGAGAGAGAGAGAGAGAGAGAGAGAGAATTCCTCGTCAAACAAAAGCAATATAATTCAAAGAGAAGCAGAGAGAAATAATAGCTCAGGAAAATACATACAGTTACCAGTGCCCCAAGATAACAGATTTACATGCATTCAAACTCCCAATGTGCGCGAATCCTGTTAAACTTTGAAGATGGGCAGAAAAAAAATGAATTTTCATTGAATTTTGAAGTATACAGATTATTGTATGTATATCAATGTACAATAACACAAATTTCTCTTGACAAAAAAATATTAAAAAAATGTACAACATAAAATGTCAATTGTGTTTAATAAGTCCAACTGAAAAACTTGTAGGCTGAGATTATGGAGCTGAAAGCAAGAGCAAAAAATGCCAAGAATGACATGGCGATGGAGGCATCAATCATCTTTGTGAAATGATCACTTCCAAAGTCTAAAACCCAATCACCATTTCTAGAAGCCGCAGATGATGATGCAGATATTAAAAGGTAGGCTAGTATCTGCAACAATAGTTTAAATACCATTAATAATAAAAAGTACTTCACTGTTTAAAAGTAAAGCAGAATAAAGAGTTATCAGGTCCTGAAGCAGATTGGAGCATATAAGTTCATTTACTGGGCACAGCATTCTCTCCCATAATAGAACAGAAGAAAATATAAATGAAAACGTTTACTGAATGAACTAACCTTTATACAAGGAAGTAAAAGGTAGTAAATTCTTTTATTTCAAGAATAGTATTCTTATAGGAATTTTACTGGTTAAAATTTTCTTCTATTACATTTAATAACCTCTGCATAATGAGAGCAAAATATAGATTTTTAGTTATAGACGCTTACATTTTTTTTCATAATTTTTCAAATTGCAATAGTTAGCTTTTAGTTGCCAATGTATATATATAGCAGTGGTTTTTAGTTCCCAATGTATAGTGGACATTTATACATAACAAAGTAATTTGTTGCTTATTCACTTCATAATCTATGTACAACTGAAGAGTTTCTCATTAACACAGCACAAGAGTTCCAACATTTTGCCATGTTGGACTAACTATATGCAAACTTTAGATAAAGATGTAGATGAAAAAGGTTATCTAAGAATGCAAATACAGATGATGCAAGTAAAAGGGAAGAGAACAAAATTTGAAACACCCAATATTAATTAGAATGAAAATGTAGAACTTCTTGGTTAAGCTACTTACTCCACAATAACCAATAGATAGCACTGTCATAAAAGAATCTAAAAAACTTAATTAGCACACTGCACCAAAAATTGAACTTCAATAACAGTAACAGTAATGGAAAATGAACTTGCCTGATCCATGAAGAAGTTGAAGAAGTAACTAACTGGACGGCTCATGATAGGCTTTTTCATCATCTTGTGGTGGATTTGTGCATATCCCTGGAATAATGAGTACACGAACACAAGCACATTCACTGAAAGGCAATACCTGAACTCATGGGGAACAGAAAATTAGTTATAGTCATTAAACCAACTGATAGAAAAGGAAAATCTTTTTTTCCTTCTTCTGCATAAGAAAGAACTTGCACATTTCCTTACTACTCCTAACAACGAGATTACGCATTCTCACAAGAATTGTATCAGACCTTACCGAAATTCTCTATAACGGTCAAAAGAATCACCGTCCCAGCCAGAGGTCTTATCAGCTGCCATTACCGAAAATGATATCATACTAAGAATCAATGTCAAAATCCTAAGTCCAATTGCAGCTATTCTCATTGTCGGTTGCCTTGAAGTTCCTGACTCCACCCACATTGATCCTCTTCCTCCTCTCCCTCCAACATCTGATGTTGTTTCCCTTGAAACCATATGGTTTACTACCGGAACCATTGGAGATGTCGCTTTCTGTAATGACGGGTCATCTGCTGCTACATTTGAGAATGGTGATCGAAGAATAGATGCCACTGTCATCGGTCCTATCTGCAATATTATGGCATAATTTTTGATAACTTAGACACCGTAAATTTAAATAATAAAAATTTTGAGTATTTGTGAGAGAGAAGTTCAACCTTTGGATATTAAAGGCAAAAAATAATAGTACACGAAATCTATGTTTAGTAAAAGCATTTTGGTCTTTTGTTTTTAATCCTAAATAGCTTATGCATAAATTTTGGAAAAACTTTCTATGACTTGAATTTTTTTTCCTTTCTTTTCGTTTTTTAAAATTTTTAAATTTGAGTACTACCTAAGAAAGAGAAATTCAACCTTTAGATATTAGATACTAAAACATTATAAACCATTATAGTCCAATAACTAAGCCTGTCTCATGTAGTCATGTGAAAACGTTTTGGCCTTTTATTTCTAGGTAGTTTATGCACATATTTTGAAAAAACTTTCTATAACTTAGGACGATAATTTTTTGTAGAATTGGGAAACTTTCTTAGAAAGAAAAATTCAACCTTTAGATAATAAACTCTAAAAATTATATTACAATAAAGCATATGTTGTGTGCAAACATTTTGGCGTTCTATTTCCAAATTGTTTATGCATATTTTCTGAGGGAAAAACTTTTTATAAAATATAATAGAGCTTTGTAAAATTTGACTACTTCCTAAGAAAGGAAATTCATCCTTTAGATATTAAATACTAAAAGGTATCAGTATGATAACAAAGCCTATGTTGCATGAAAATATTTTGGCCTTCTATTGCTAAAGTCTAAATAGTTTATGCATTTTAGATCATATCCAGCAGTATCAATTTTCAAGTTCCTTGATACCTCCCTAGCATACCTCCCTCTGCCTATGAAAATAGGGTGTCATTGCTTATAACTTCTTTTTCCTTCTATCATTATAAATACCTCCCGTTTCGCCCGAGCTAGGATTGGCTAAGAATTCACTCATATATCTCCTTTAATCATCAAATTCCAAACGATTTTAAATATCTCGCTTATGTATTTAAAAAATTACTTTTGGTTTTGTTTTTCACATAAACAGGATATTCTGATAAACATCTTAATAAGATTTGAATTCTCATTTGCTCAATTTGGATATGGATGAATAATTTACAAAGGTATGCATCATTAATCAAGTTATAGCATTCTTTGTTTTTTCTGGGTGAAACTCATAAACAAATCGCCAACTTCGGGGTTTTTTTAAAATATATTTCCAAATAAAATCAGCAGAATATCTAACGAATATCACGCGTTGCAACTCACCGTTGGGGAACCGGTTACCGTATCCTTGTACCGCGGCGACGAAGCGGTAGGATTCTCCGCGTCGCGATGCGATGACCTAAAAGACGACACCGAACTGAACGAGTTCGTCTTCTCATACCTCGATTCCTTATCCTCCTTCGCTCCCCGCTGCGGTGAGCTCACCGGCGATCCGCTCAACGCCTCGTCTCTTAAACTCGCAGCACGAGGGACCACCGCCCAGCCATCTTTTGAGGAGGATCGGGACGGTGAGCTCACCGGAGATCCCGTCACCGCCTCGCCTCTTATACCCGCAGCTCTAGGAACCCTCACCGGGGATCCCGTCACCGCCTCGTCTCTTATACCCGCAGCTCTTGGAACCCTCGCCGGGGACCCCGTCACCGCCTCCTCTCTTATGCTCGCAGATCGAGGAACAGTCGCCCTGCTGTCTTTCGAAGATCGAGACGGTGAGCTCTCCGGAGATGCCGCAACCGCCGCGGCCTGTGGTATGCTCGCAGCTCGAGGCAC